CTTTCCCACTTTCAGCAGTGAAGAAAGCCTTTGGATCCTGCTATAATCTCTCTATGTACATGTGACAATAAAAATATTTACTGTCTGGGCAGCACTGGGACATTAACCTTCACTGCTAAGCTGCAGGCACAGTATGTATTGCACCTTGTTGAGCTCTGTAAGCTCCTCAGTGAATTTAGCTTTGACTCTCTGATGTCCCAGGGCTGATTCCTTAGAACAGACCCCTCTGTCTTTGTCTGCTGAAGTAACTGGGCTGCGAGTGACCCCCCGTATGCCTGTGTGCCTGTGTTATGCTGCTTGGCTTCTCTGGACTCCAGCTGCCACTGCCTCGGGAGGCTGGCTATGAAACCAGGGAAGGAGTCCAGCCAGCCTCACGCCTTGTTTTCTCTGGAACAGCAGTGAAATCCCTAAGATTGGGGTGAGCATGACTCTAACAACATGCTCACCAGTTTTTACACTGACATAAAGCTCCGTTGACTTGAAAGGAGTCCCTCCGCAGTAAGCGGAGCAGAATCAAGCCTTGCACATCACATCACTTCCTTCCACCCCCGGGAATACTTACTGACCTCTTCTCCCTCCCGTCAAGCGGTAGCACTGTGAAATTCAGGAACACAGCAGCAGGAGCAGCAGCTGCTTCCCAGAGCCGGGTCCCGAGGAGGCAGGGAGCACATTCTTTCCTATGTTGTGGTTTGCTGACTCTTCTCTTTGTCTCCCGGGCAATAGGGACAGAGCTCGTGGAGCTGGGAGCATGCTTACAAGAAATGGCTGCTGTGGGTTTTTCACTTCAGCTGGGCCTCACTCTTATCCCGATTATGTAGGTATGAACCTGGGGAAATTCTGTTGTTTCACTGAACTTGCTCAGATTCATCCCGGCGGAGCTGGCGGCAGAAACTATCCCTGAAATGTTTTCTGCGGCATTCTGGCTGCCCACAGCAGCTGTTTGTTGCTTTGCATTTTCCTTTGCCACGAGAGTTATGTAACCTCTGAGAACTGAATCCTCATCTTCCTGCTTGACTGTGAAAGGCCCTTAAACTGGTTTTAAGCTGTGCGTCATTATCTGCAGAGGTCTTTGGCTTGTGGGGCTTGATACTTCCCAGTGAGCTACAGGGAGGATCAGTCTGACGGGAGCGAGGAGAAGCCCAGGGCGCAGCTGTGTGGCAGCTGCTGCCGTGACCCATGTGAGGAGCTGAACCAGGTAGCTGCCCACTGAAAAGCAGGAAACCTCCAAAGCCTGAGCCGGTAAGAGAGGTCCATCTGTAACAATGTCCTCTCTTCAGACAGCCACAGCACTGGCTTAGTGGATCCGCTAGTTTGAATCTCCATGGCAGGAAATTTAAGGCTTTCCTGGTTGATTGCTTCCCCCTCCTTACTGGTGGGGGTGGAAGAATGTGTCTCAGACCCAGTGTTTTTCTGCATAGCGCTGATCTTTTCCAGGCTTGATTTGTATCTCTCCTCACTGTTCAGAGGGCTCAGCACTTCCTCTGAAATCTTACAGGAGTGTATCATTTGGGGCACAAACAGGCCAGGCACTGAATCTATTTGGTTGTTTACTGATGGGGCAACATGCCAGCCTCATCCAAGGTTCTTATTAGCAGCAGTATGCTGATTAACGGGAGTAATTTTTTCTTAGCCGTTTTAAGGTTCTAATGGAAGCAACGAAAGCACCAAACCTGCTCTAGAAGTCACGCTGTGCGATGTTCAGGGATAAGCTGTGGTATGGAGCATCGCTGAAAGACCCTGTGCTTTCTCTAGGGTCAGGAACTGCAGAACTGAAAATGAGTATGGCTTTCAATTATTGAATATGGTCAGGTACAAGTTTACAGTACATTTTGAGGGTTTTAAGTCACAGCCTTCCACTTGCCAAGGAGAACCATAAAAGCCACCTTGACCCTTCCAGCCGCAAAGTGCAGCAAGTTAGTGTACGCTACCAGCAAAAGTGATTCTGTGGCATGAAAGGTAAGATCCTAGAAGCAGTGAAATGCCTCAGTATCTTCTCTTTCTGTGGGTTTTGGGGACACTATTGATAGTAGTGGGCAGCTTAGTACATAGTTTAGCAAACACTTTGTTACTGTACATTTTTGTTTATTCTCCCATTAAAGCCACTGTTGATGGTGGTGCTGCATCAGACCTCTGTGGCAGCAGATGAGGCTATGTTAAAACAAACCCCAGAAAGCCTCCAAAATGTATATGTAACAGTAAATAAAAACATTTTCCACAAAGAGGGATATGGTGGGGTGGGGATTGGAGGGGGGAAATCAGGTCCTTACACAATCCAGGCCTTCCCGATCCCCAATCCGCCCCAACTGGTTTTCATAAGCAGCATTACGTCACCGGCCTCAGCCGCGCTCCAGCATCGTTTGCAGCAGGAGATGACACGCCTGGGCTTTGAGGGCTGTGGTGGGGCAAGTGACTGCCTGTTAACTCAGTGCTGAACGCTTCACTGGCGCTCTCTGTATGGGCTTTTTAAACAGCTGAATTTTCTTGCTAGCATTTCTGTCTGGCTTTGATGACACTTTCCAGCTGATAGACCAGGAACGAACGATATTTGGGCACAGAATTCCTTCTAGTGGCTAATCAGACCCGCTTCCAGTCTGAAGTACCTCTGCTCAGCAGGGCTGTAGCTCTGTGATGTGGAGCCGGTCTTTGAGAGCACAACAGATATCTTGTGAGGACTCATACATGACAGAAATCTCCTTAGCTGTTCAGAGGTAGGCACCTGTGGATTTACCACAACCTCTTCTAGCTACTCTTATTTTCAGTCACGCGGGTCTCTCTCTTTCCGAGAGAGTCTTTCGTGTAAGAGTACGTGGAAATGTATGGTATTAAGGTTATGTGTGCATTTGCGCTCTAAAAGTCTTCGTTTTGCCCCCTCATTGGCTTATGATTGTCTTAAATTTTTAAAAAAAGAAATTGAATGAAAAAATAATTCAGACAGTTCTAAGAAGGTACTGGAAATGATGATTTTTTGCTCTTATAAAGAAAGTTCCTTGCTACCATCCTTCCTGGATTGCATCAGTGCCTCTGTAGTTGGCAATAGAAATTTGATATCTCATCCAAAATAAATCAGCATTTTCCAAGTAAGAAGCTGTGGCTATTCTCTGTGGGGAAGTAACCCCACTGGAAATTGCAGGAATGGGACTTAAGTGGAATGGCAAGCTCAGAATGAAACTAGAAGTGACAACTCCAGGAAAAAAAAAAAAGGAACTGTAATTGCACCTTGAATAGATCCAGGAAAAATCTATCTGAGTTTAACCAATTCAGAGATTTAGTCTGGGACTTTCAGAAGAACCCAGGGGAATTGCAGGTTCTGCACTGCCTTGGATCCCTTTGAAAAAGCAGCCCTGAAAGTATACCCCTCATATATGTGTGGAGTATTTCTTAATGATGAAAAAGGGACTTATTTGCTAGTAGTATTGCCATTTTTCATGGGCACTATTCACAAGTGTATAAACATGTATCGTCTATTGCCTCACATGTAAATGCGAGGCTGCACAGATCCAGACCCTTGGTGTGAGCGGTCCCCAGTGCTGTTACTCTCACTGCCTGCCAATGTGATCGCTCTTTGATAACCAGTTTCTTCTGTGAATGACTCACCAGTTCTTGAGAAGAAAAGGCACGTGAGCCCAATGTTGCGCAAGTGGCCTCCTTCTAGCCTGAGTACTTCAAGGATCCCTTTATGGTCGGTGTCTCTGTCCTTCCACATCCCTCTGCCCCACCAGCACCGATGCAGGGCAGGCAGGGCTGTATTGCATCGCACACGTGGGCTTGTATTCCCCGATCTGTTCCCTGGCACCCGCAGGGCTATGTGGAAAGCCCATAGAGGAGATGAGGACTGGCACAGGACAGTATTTTCACTCCTCTTTTCATGCATTTACACAGAGCAATGTCTAAAGGCAGTTAGAGGAAACCTCAGGTAGAAATGCAATGCTTTTTGCTTTACAGTGGTTGCGCTGGAGAAGTATTTTAGTTGTTCTGTGTCTAAGCCCGGTGACCTTTCTGCACATGGGGTTTTATTTATCTGTCTGCCCATCTCTGCTTCTGCTGAAGGCACAGGGTGCATGAGTTTGCCCGCAAGAAAGGCGAAAGAGCTGTTCTTTGGCCATGTGTGTTAGCAACACCAGACCCTGAGGGAGCGCTCCGAAAACCATTGATGGCTCATGCTTTGTGGCTTTTGTAATAGCTTAGAAGTGTATGGCACAGACCTGCCCCATGAAAATCACCCAGCATTTACTGTAGAGCTGCTGTGTGCAAGTTCCGCAGCGAACTGAGTGCTGCTGTGCGAGTCCCTAAGATGTAAGCTCTAAACAGAGAAGAAAAGGGAAGTGCTAGTAGTGCAATTCATAGATTGGGAATGGGAGCACAAGCATATAAAGTTTGTGCAGGTAAGTGAGTTGCCCAAGTTTTCTCAAGAAGTCTGTAACAGAGCCAGGGATTGACTTTCCAGAAAGCTGGTCCGGTGTGTTAGCTATTAGCATGGCCTTTCCCTTCTGAATTACTTCAAAAGCTTTCTCTTTTGAAACAAACAGTAATTCATGGAAACATTCACCCACACATGCTGGGAGAGTAGATCAGTCAAGACTTTCTGTGTGGCTGCAAGAGCAGAGCTGTGCTCTAGGAAAATAAATAATCTGTTAGCAGATGATTTAGCAAAATCAAATAAAATGAATTAAACTAGAAGAAAATATTTACATTTTTATGTTATAAAAGGAGCAAAACCAGATGGGAGCACATCTCCTGAATGTGTTTTAAAATTTTATGGTAAGCCACTTCGGACCTATTTCTGCTCCCAGTTGTGGGTTTTTTCATGGTTATTCCTGTTGTTACAGCTCCAAGCACAGTTACATTAGAAGCCTTAAGAGAGTTACACGCTTGGTCTCCATAGACCTTTACTGAAGTTGTGTCTTTATCCACCTTTAGAATATCCTAGCCTAAAAGTTCAGAGCGATACAGCAGTTCACTGTGGAATAAGATTAACATAATCGATTATATTTTGCACACAGGTCTGGAAGCGTCAGGAACCATTGGATGGAGATTTACTCTTTTGTGGAAAGCCTGGCTGAGAAATTCATAAGGTAAAGTTTTCTTGGGATGAGAGTTTAACTATATGTGTGTGTACGTATACATATATATATATATGTATGCATACGTGTGTGTGTATAGATATATATATAAAAATATATATTTATATATCTTCATTGCTTCTTAGCAAATGAAATTTACTAAAGTAATGTGTGTGTGACATGGATCTGGCTTGTTCTTCTATTTCAGTCCAATGCTGCGCATGTCTTTCATTGTTTTTTCCTCACGAGGCACCACGGTCATGAAATTAACAGAAAACAGGCAAGTACTTCCCAGCTGTCACCCAGAAATGCCCTCCGTCCCTCCTCGCCCAAACACCGAGTGGCCACAAAGCTGGGCTCTGGAGCTCGGTGGCAGCCTTCAGTGCGGCGCCACCTGAGGCACTGATGGAAATTCTTCCCATGGGTTTGCAATTGGAAGAGGATTTAGGAGGCTTTTTGGTCTCCCATTAACACTGTTTTCAGCCTTTTAGGAAAAAAGCAGCATTGAGCTCTCTGCTCTTTCTAGCGGTATTTCAGAGAGAAGCTGCAGTTCCAGTTGAGGATCCATATTCATGGATCCAACCCCTGGTTGTACTGTGCGTACTTATAAAAGAAGGTGGTTTGGAGCAGTCCTGAAAGCCCTCCCAGCCCTCGCCCCTTGGGGCTCTGGGGCTTCGTCCCAAGCCGGAGACCCCATGGGAGTCATGGATTTCCACTGGCTCTGCTGAGCTTTGGCTCAGGCCCTGTTTTGCAGCTCAGTGAAAAAGCTCGGCCTTGTTTACTCTTCCTAGATGGATTTGCTGTTTGCAAGGTGAAAAGTAGACAGCATCCTTGTGGCAATATGTTGAACCTGGTATTAAAATGTTCCCTGATCTAAACCTCTGTTCTCTGCATGGCTTTCCATGTGTGCCTTTTCAGCTTATTTTATGCTTATTTTACATTTGGAAAGGGTAAACGTCTTTCTTGCCCTAAGGACATCCCTCATCCCAGCCCCAAATCTTAAATTTTACTGTCACTCCGTATAGATGTCTATTTCCTCTCTAACTGTGGTTTCACCATCCAAAATGCCCAGTTGCGAAAGGGAGCTTAGACAGGCTGCCACTATTATTCATAAAAAAAAAAAAAATCCCACAACATCTAAGGCTGATGTCTGGGTTTCCTGCATGTTGCCTGTTGAGTATTTGTTTCATACTATTGTTGTCTTATTTGTATTCCAGCAATATCTGAAAACTTTGCTGAGGATCAGGGTCTTTTAGTGATCAGCTTGGGGAAAATAAATGTTAATTTCCCAGAATGATCCTCTTGGCTTAAGGGGATTTATTTGTGGAGTAAGAAGCTACACGTTGGCACTCATGGTATTAAAGTCTCTCTATTGCCAGGGAGCAATCTGCGCCCAAGTTGCTTATGAATGGGAAGGAAGGTTGATCAACCCTGGTCTAGGACAGGAAACTCTTAGCCTTCCCATCCTATTTGCATACCTTCTGGCCTCTGACTTTTTAATGGAAAAGTCCTGATCCCAGCTGTCCTGAAGATTGTTTGAATCATGAGTTTTTATTTGTCTCATTATCATGACAGGGCCATCAGCTTTTAAATCCTCATTCCATCTGCAGTTTGTCAGAGTTTATATTTGGCATTTGTTTTAATTCAGTCTTATTCCTGTTGACAGTATACCAGGAGGAGGGAGGGCCAGAACTGCACCCTTAAAATGCATTTACCCTGATATTGTTTCCTATGTCCAGTTCTGCGCTCCCATCGGTGCTTGGCTGATCGCAAAATTGTGTTTTTGAAGCATCTTAACTTTACCAATCCTTTAGCTTGTGTGTATACACTCTGTGCAATTTATTGAGGGGGTTCATAATCTAGCTGTATTACAGGAATGTCTCAAAGCAACAAAAAAGGACTTTTAATAAAATTACTTTCCCCGATTTTCTTCTATTTTTTTTTATCCAAAGGGAAGCCATAAGACGAGGGCTCGAGATTCTTCAGTATGAAGTGCCTGGAGGAGACACATTCATGCATGAAGGATTTAAAAGGGTACATATCACAGTGCCTCCTTTTCTTTGATTTATGCTTATAAACTTTGCTTTGTTTGCTGCTGCTGTACTTAAGGGTTAACGACGTTCTATGCTTTGTTGCAGGCAAATGAACAGATTTACCATGAAACCTATGGAGGTAAGCATCCTATGACACTGATATTTTGTATCTGCATTGGAAAGACAGGGTGGTAGAGTTTTTTTATATGACCTGCAGTAAACTCACTGAGAGCAGAGCTGGAGAAGGAGCTGGTGTTGCATAATGGTTACATTCCATTTGCACTACAGTCCGGCTTTTGCATGGGTGATTCATGGTTTATGAAGACCAGAGAAGACCGTTGCAATCACAGATCTGACCCAGCGCAGAGCACAAACCAAAGCATTGCAGCCAGAACTGCCTGTGCTGCACCCGGAGGACAGGAATACCAGGATTTTCAGGCATCATTGTATCTTGAGACGCTCAGCCTTGTCTGTCTCATGCACCCAAGTTCTCATTCAGTTTGGTGCTGGTATGACCAGCTGGAGATCTTGCATCAGTATGAATGATTTGAGCCCCTCATTGTGTAAATTTTCCCTAAATTTCAAGAGAAGAATATATTTGTGTGGGTTTTTTTCTTTCCTGTATAAAAAGAAGGCCTGACTAGTTAATCTGAATACTTGCTGCCTGGTTTATAACTTGGGGTCAGGTTGTTCTCATTTGTGGGCTGATGGTTTCTTTGGCAGATCCAGAAATGGGTCAATGCCTTTAATAAGAGTAACTTGTGGGTGTGGAGTCTTCAGCAGCAACTCTCTTGTGTGACATCTCAGGCATTTCTGCCAAAAAGAGTTCTGAAGAGTCCAATTGAAAATTGTTTTACCTCTCCATAACAGATAGCTTAGAGAATAGTTCATTTGTTGTTAGCTGATTATGAAAGAAAAAGCAGCAAATGAGATCTGAATTTATAAAATAAAACATCAGGAAAGAAACAAGTGTTCAAAACAAAGCAAAATAAAAAAGAGCCCCAATATTGCAGCTTTTTTCAAGCATCCTGAACAGAAAAAATGAGGAGTACAGGAATCAAAGCTCCCCCCAACCCTTTTCCAGTTGCAGGTCACTTTTTAAGGCTTTACGTCTGTGTCTGATGTGACATGGGAAGAACTGCATGGCATAAGAAACCTGTCAGAACTCATCAGTCTTTAGGTTCAGACAGTATGGGGAAAGACACTTGAAATTGTAACAAATTATTTTGAAAAAATAACAACTGCTTCCCTTAAAGTAAGATGTATGTATATTAGCTGCTTTGCTTAAAAACTGTATTGAAGCAGAGTGGTTGATTGAACCATAGTTTGCGTATTAATTGGCATTAATTTTATTAATGTTTTGTATTTTTCTAGGTAATATTGTGCTATATACTGCATTACTTATGTAGCTATCCAGAGTCTATCCAGTCTTTTCGTTTAAGCTTAGGTGGGACATAAGACGGCTTGTCAGTGCTAAGCAAGACAGAGCTGATCTAGCATTTTGCACACAGAAATTTCACACAGAATTTCCATGAATGTCACTGGCTGTTCTTGTAGCTCAAGAAATGTAGGACTGAACCCTGTATGGAAGCAACCTTTCCTGCCATGTTCAGTAGGGTTGCTCCTTGAAAACTTACTGGAGAAGCAGGTGGGATGGCAGGAACATTTCTTTCACAGAGATCTCCCCTGCTGGTACTCTTTGGTATTTCTGGGCATGCGTTTTGTAGAGGAGTGGGGCAGGGGAGTGGGGCAGACCTTTCCTTTGGAGAGCCTTTCTTTCATTTCTCCATGCAAAGGGTCTAGGTGTAATCTCAGGTAGAAAGGAGGAGTGACCTGCAGGTGCTGCTTTACACTGAAGAGTGAAGTTTGTGCATGGACCTGGGTAGAGCAGTCCTCCTTTGGTGGTGTTTGTACAATGAAGATGCGCAGGTTTTGGTGTATTGCATGCTCTTACGCATCTGACCTTCAGCTGGGGTAGATTAGTGCATCTCCAATGAGGATGATACAAATCAAGCTAAGGATCTGGCCTTGTGGTTCTGTTTATTTGTCAGCAAAAGACATGCAACCCCTCACACTTATTGTTTCGATACTGAATCTTGTGTCATCCGTATGCAGTCTAACTGTGTTAACTATCGTCCATCTAGGGGTTCGAACTGCTAGTGTGATTATTGCTCTGACGGATGGAGAATTGCAAGATGTTCAGTTTTATTATGCAGAACAAGAAGTAAGTCACCTTCACATTCACCCAAACTGGTTTATGTCAAACATGTAAGCATTTGCTGTTGGCTCCACTGCTTATATGGCTTTGTATTTAAATTTACTTATTTATTTATTTATTTTTACATTTAGGCCAACAGAGCGAGAAGCTTTGGGGCTATTGTTTACTGTGTTGGAGTGAAAGATTTCAATGAAACTCAGGTAATTTTGAATCTGGTTTGCTTGCTTGGTTCTTGTTCTGTTTTTCTGTTATGCTCCTGCACAAGTAACAGCATCAGATGAAGGCATTTATTTAATTACTTAAGGCATAAATCATTTCATGTCAGTATGATGTCTTTTAGCAAGTATGAAACGGCCCAGTTTTATCCACTGTAATTTTATTTTCCTCCTGATTTATGATTGTCTTTCTTTGCAGCTGTCAACAATTGCTGACAGCATCGATCATGTTTTCCCAGTAACAGGAGGCTTTTATGCCCTAAGAGGAACCATTGATTCGGTAAGTTGGGTATTTTGAGACCTAGAGAAGGACATCTTTCCTGCATTAATAAAGTGTAGTTAAAAATGGTTATCAAAAATGCCATTATCTCAATCTTCTAGATTCTCAAGAAATCTTGCATTGAGATCCTAGCGGCTGAACCATCGAGCGTTTGTGCAGGGGGTAAGTTTGTACAGTAGCGTGAGGAGGCAAATAGATGACGGTGATGAAATGTCAGTAGCGACCTGATGTAGTATCAGAGCTGAAGCCCATGGATGTGTTGGGAAGCCCCCTGAGGCAGCGCGTGAAGCCCCGTGTGTCCCCTCTCAGCTCAGGAATGAGCTTGCACAGATATACATGTAGCCTCCCCTGCTGAATGTCCCTTGGAGAATTAACTGAGGAGCGTTTCAGGAGTTACAAATACCGTTTTTTAAAATATCCAAGAAAAACAGGAGCCAAAATGATATAAGGTGTATTGCCAAAGATATCTTACTGTCTAAAGGTAATTTGCTCACAAATTCCTGGAAGGATTATGTTTTTTGGACTTACTAGGACCTGTCACCAGTTAGAAAAGGATTTTGCAAAACATTCAGAGAAGTTTCAGGTTTAGTGACCCAGGTATAATAAACTGCCTAGGCCAAGATACCTGATGCATTTTCCAAAGTGTTCGTGTTTTGCTTGTTTGCAATAAAAACACTGTTAGTGGCCATGGTGAATGTGCAGAATCCCCAGAGGAGCTGTTGATAATTTCATGCCTTTCATGTTTAGTATATTTAACTTGTGTTTGTTCTGGTTTATGTTAGCAATTCATTTTGCTTGATTTTTGCCTGTATAAAAGACTACTGCAGCAGAGTAAGAGTGCCACCATAAGTTTGCTGGAAGGTATGGTTTACAGCATGGTTATTTAGAGCTGATGTTCCTGTCTCATGTTCATTTCCTTATACGTTACAAAAATGAGCACATATAAATAAAACAGCAATGATGCATGAAAGCTGACCTTGAGCACTCAGATCAAAATAGGAGATTCAGGGAAAATCTAAAAATTCACAGAGAAGAGAAATTGTTCGCTCTTCATTTCTGCATGTCGGCCACGCTATGACCTTACCCTGAATATTTAAATGTAAAATGAAATATCACAGTGTCTTTCAAATTATTCCTAAAATATAGTTCTGGAGTAGACTTTGTCGTAAAATCTTATCTGTGAGCAATTAAAAAAGGAAAAAAAATGCTTTTAAAGATCTCCTTGTAGAGTTAATCAAAAATAAAGAAGAAATTTTAAAACTATGACATTTCAAAGCTTTTTTAAATCATAGGATTAAATTTTTTTTCACTTTCTTATTATATACCAGACAATTTCTTTTGTGCAACATCTTACTGCAAGTTTTTTCATTTAGCAAAAATTGCTTTTAGCTAAATGGAAATGCCTATAAATGCTCCAATAGTGATTTCAGTGATTTCTTAAAATTGTTTACAATGTTATGAATATGTCATTGAAAGGCATTGTTTGAAAAGATTTTTCAATTTGAAAATCTGAAATGATTTTTCAAAAATCTTAGAAAACATAAATCAGGAGAAGATTTACTTTTTAAAAATGGACAAGTTTCAGCAATAAGAACAAAATTTTCCTTTGAGAAAAAGGATCAACTTAATTTCTGATTCATGCATTTTATCTTTTGCTCACCTTGCTAAGTAGCTAGTCAGTGACAAGCATAATTAAAATGCACAGGTACATGTAAAATAATTTCTTCTTCTTCAAGATCTTTTTTTTTTTTTCCATCACTTGCACCTATAAAAGTTTTCCAGTCTATTTGTGGCTTTCAGATGAGATTAGTGCAAATACTATATCTTAACAGCCCAATCCAGTTTCTGGGTATTGCTGCTGATTCAGCAAGATACCTAGGCACCTGCTGAGCTGAAATGCTGCAGTTTGCTCTGTCCCTGCTCAGTGTCGCTGAAACACCAGCGCCCAAGGGCTTAGTGCTGGTGTGGCCGAAGGCTTGCTAATAGCAGTGAGGAACTTTAAAATAGGAGGAAGCCACAAGTGCACGTCTGTGAATGGTGCGGACTGTCAGTGTGGGCTAAATGGTCTTTAACACCAATGGTCAGGCCTGTAATAGTTTTTACCATGAGCCTTGTCCTGCCAGCCTTTTTCTGAAATGAACTCCTGCAAGAAGTTTTAACGGTGTGAGGCTTCAAATATTTACCCTTGTGCTTGACTCTGTTAACCTGAGTAAGCCCATTTACTTCAGCATAGCCAGAGGTTCATCTCTACAGCTGTATACACCACTGTCTCCTGGAGGGAGTCTCCTTGGATTGGAAAACTTTTCTTGTGGTAGTGTGAATCAGGGTCCTGAATCCAAGTCACTGGACTATATTCAAATGTAGTTCGACTCTAAATGTAATATGTTTTATGTAGTTTATTATTCAAGCTTCAATACGGAAGAGTACTGAAGCATATGGAGTCAGCTAAGAATTTTAATATATTTTAAGTTTAGGTGATGAATTTAGTTGAATAATAGATAAGAAATACCATATGGTTGTTGAATGCTCTATATAAATGTATATATTGTACACTTAGAGCTAGCTGAAAATTGGAGCATGACTTTTCTGGAAATGCAGTGTTCCCCTCCTCTTTTTTTCTAAGTTAAGAATGTTATTAGCATTTAGGAAAATATGTAATTGAAATTTGCATTTCAAAATGGTGATGAAAAATATCAAAACGTCAACCTGTGTGTAAAATCAGGATCAGCTCTGACATTTGTCTATAGAGAGGGTATATATGTAAAATACATCGAGTGCTTGTCTATACATATGCCTATATTTCTCTCTATATACGTGTGCATGAGGGAATATGCTCCTGACTTTAGATTTTAGGAAGAGGGCCATACATCATGACATTCCCCTGCAAAGCAGGTTGCTTTTTTACAGCCTTAAAATGTGGATCTGTCTGTCCATTTTGTATGAAACTCATCTAAGTAAGGAGGTGATGATCAGTTTGGATTCTGTTGAGCATTATTACTATTTTTTTAGTAATCTGATAAAAGAGTGTTACTCAGTTGTGTTACTCAGTGGAAACCAGTCTTAACTGGGAGTTAGAACAGACTCTGACCCACTCATTGTAATCATTCTTGCAACTCATAATTACCTCTGTGTTGGTAATTCATGGTGATCTCAGCTTCATTTTTGATTTGACAGAGCTTTAATAGATCGCTGATGAAACTACTTCCATGCAGTTGTAGCTGAATTATGACAGCTCCAATTGGGACACTGGCTCTGTATGATGAAGCTATCTGGCGAGTCCGCTTACAAATTGATCTAGTTGAGTTATGACAGTTATCTGATGCTTAATGCTTTTTGACCCTGCAAATTTGTAGTCGCTAATGTGGAGAAACGTACTTAGGTCCTTTCTCTTCCTTCTGATTTAAAGTGACCAAGACATGCAGCCTGTAAACAGGCTATCAGTGTAGAACTGGAGGTGCCTCCTATCCCATTTGACAGCATCATTGCTTTGATTATGCTTACGGTACACAGATGTGATTGAAAGGTCTTGCTGGATGTGGCATCCTAGTGGCCACATCAACTACCAGGTGTGGATGCAAGCCGTCAGCTTCTCATCAGAGTCACAGAAGCGGAGCCGACAGCACAGCCAGCGCACACCAGCTTCAACCTACCATCTCGCTGCCAGCACTGCCCGGTTGTTTCCGTGCTGACCTTTTTCCCTTCGCTGTCTTGTCAAAAGCTACAATCTACGATCTGACAATAACTAAGGAAGAAAAGGACGCAGCCAGAGCCAGGGCGCAAAATTAAATAGAATTAGCCATTTCAACAGACCATCATCTGGAACATATTAATGCTCCAGAGCATTTGAAGGGGCAGACTTCTTAATAGCAACAACCAAATCCAGTACCAGCTATTCATATTTTTGTGCAAGCCTACTATTGAAACTGTATTGTCAGTTTGTGCTGGCAGACAGGCTATTGCAAAGGAGATGTTCTCCTTTCACAACTGACTGTGCAGAGTGGTGGTGACAGTGAAAAGAAGGGCAGGAGAAATAAATTGTCTTGACAAGACTAAAGTTCTGGATGCAGCTTTTATCTTGGATGTTCTGTGCTGAAAGTCTTTTATTTGCTGCATCTTTTTAAAGCCACTGAAATAGCTAACAATTAGGCCTTTGGCTGTTGCCTTTTAAGACCATTATTTCAGGGGAGGAAAAAAATTATGTATTTTATTTCAGCAAGCTGCTTTTGTATGAAACTGAGAGACAAAAAAAAAAAAAGACCATCTTAGTTGGGTAGTTATGTTGCTGTGGAGTAGGCTGGCTAAAAAATTCCAGTGCAATGCGCAGTTGCAACCAAATAGTTCTGGTAGGTGAACATCAGCCAAGCTTGCACTCGGGGCCAGCCATTGCTGTCAGCTCTGCTGGTGGAAAAGGGATGCTGATCAAGAATAACTCTCAGGATGTCAGTTGAGTGAAATGTGGAGTGGCTCAAGGCATGAATCAGACTTGGAGCAGCTCCAGATTTATACTGGAGTAAGAAGCAGCCGAGTTTGCCATACAATCCACTTTTATTTGTTTAAAGAAGTGCACACCCCTCCCCCCAATGGGAACCAGGAAGTATGACCCTTCCCTTAATAAACGGGCCAAATTTTGATATTAGTTTTGCGCACTTGGCTCTTGGCATGCTCATTGAGGTCTTGAATCCGCTCGTCCGTCTTCAGCAAAGTGCCAAAGCATGTGTTTCACTTTAATATGCACTGCAGCAGACGTTTTCTTTTTCCCTCCCAAACTATCTTTTCAGATACCCCCCCTTCCCTGCAGCCTCCGCTGCTTCAGAGCGTTGCTCTAAGGACAAGTTACCAAGAGGAAAACTGGAGCGTGGGTTTCCAGGGCTTGATCACATCTTCTCTTGCGCATGCCCATGCCCTGTTTGCCCTGAGTGCTAAGTTGCATTAGACTTTGATGTAGTGAGACTATGTTTTTGGCAAGAACAAGCTGTTTGTATGGAAAAGTTAAAGCAGCGCTTCACATCCTCATGTTAACTTGCCTTGCAGTAACTTGACTGTGCAGAGCAGGCAGACTAAGCTTAATATGTATTTCATACACCTTTGGGCCTCATATTGTGTTATCCAGTAACAGTCCTTCATCCAAAGCATACAAATGCTATGGCAGGGCATCATATGAAATGATGTCAAGAGCTAGCTCTCCCTTATGTCACTATAAATTAGGTACTGCTCCCCTCAATCCTACCAGAGTTGTTTTCCTCTCATTTATAGTGTTTTGGCCTGCATATAAGTGATAATGCATGTGGACTTGTTTGTAGTTTTAGCTGTTGCTAGTTGAGAATTTCTCTGCAGTTTATTCCAATTTTCATCTCTGTAACTTGAAGATTAACTATTCCCAGGGTATTGTGCTGGTGTTTAATTGATGTGAGAAGAGAGTCAGGCCTCAAATGCTGCTCAGAAGTGAGCCCTGTGGAGGAACTGCATTCAGCTACAGTATAGGATTTCTGTATAAGAGTGTAGCCTGTTTTTGGCTTTGTCTTGCTGTGTGGTGTGGGGTCTCAGCTGGCTTCTTGCATGTAGCATGGGAGAGAGATTCAAAAAAGGACAAATTCATAATGTGTCTTTCCACCTGCCTGCATTGAAGATGATAGCTCTGTGGTCAGTGTAGCAGCTGTGCTGTATTTGGTGACCTAGAAGGAAATTCCCATTGCCTCTTCCCCCTCCAGCTACCTCTTGTGTCCGGCTTGGCAGTTCTGGGCTGGCTACAAGAGGAGGCCTTCTCCTGTGGCTGTACGGGATGGCAACTGTAACGCTGTGTCAGGATCACCTCTGCATAATACAACGGGAGGAGTGGCAGATGGCTGTATTGTTCTGCTATCAGAGAACTAAGGAGAAATGTTATTCATACAGTTTTCAAAGTTCACTGTAAAGAAGCTGAGAAACAAGTCAGGTTTCTTAATATCTTCTTCTATCTTCTTTCTTAAATTACCTTTCCCACTTCTTATGTATCTTGACTACATGGACTGCAAGTGTGGCTTCATAATTGACATAACTCAGCTGGTGCTACCACCACTTGTAATGTCTCTACCCGCTCCCTCCACCTGCGCGTTTCTATTCCTAGCAGGTGTTCAACCAGCCAGATAACCTTACCAATCTCGCTGGCAACAGAGGGTTATTTTTCAGGTGCGTGAACAAGATCATTGTACAATAGCACGGTCAGCGGTGGCAGCAGAGGGAGGGGATGTGCAGCTGGGATCTCACTTCTGAGATTCTGACATTCCCAGATTGGCCTTCCCAGGTGTCAAACTGCTTTATCAATAGAAAAACTATTGAAAGCTTGTCTGAAAAGTCTGAGGAGGCTTTTGCTGCTTGAGTGAACAAATTGCAGTTCCTTATCATAGTAACAACAGAAATCCCAGGTGTCCCCCTTCCCTGATCAGGGCCGAGGCAGCAGAAATTTGGGAGCAGCTGAGCAAGCACTTGTTCTCTGGCCAGTGGGCAGCTGGAGCAGGTCTGATGTGCCAGGTCTCTTCCTGTGCCTTGGGTTGTTTCTGCCTCTGGGATAGGGACCACAAAGGAAGAGCATGAAGAAAATGGCAGCTCCTAATTCCTTAGTGACTCCCACGTGCAGCAGATGTTAGCACTGACGTGCACTGGCTCAGCTGTTGCATGGGCAAAGATTGTGTTACCCTAGGGCTGGTACCAGATGCAAAGCCTTCCTCTCTGATTCACCAGGAGGTGTGTGTGTGGGGGGGGGGGGGCCAACTTTCTCTTTGTTTTC